GGGCAGGTGAGGTGAGCGCCCTCCTCTGGCCATTCCTTGGAGACAGGTCAGGGGAGCATGGGCTGCCCCCTTTTGAGTGGGTGTCCCTTCTCCCATACTTGGGACCTTTCACATCCTGGCTATTCTGTGTGCCTTCTTGGTCATGAGTCCCCGGTGCCTCTGATTGGGCCATTAGTTCTGGGGTGGGGTGACAGGTGGCCGAAGAGACCCAGTTAGAAAAAATGGGCTTGCTAGGAAGGCCACAATCTGCCACCTGCTGGCTAGATGCAAGCTCTTAGCAAACTCTTCCTGGCCCTTGAATCTTGCCTTAAGCACTGTGACCTTGACATTTGGGATCTCTATCCTCCCCTTCGTCCTCCCGCTTGGGCTTTCTCCTTTTCATTGTCCCTGTTTCCACCACTCAATCTGGTAACCCCGTTCACATGAGCACCCCAGTCCCCGGGAGGGATCTGAGTACGAAGAGGGCTGGGGCTAGGGCAATGCTTAACCCAAAGGGACTATGGGCTAAAGAGGGGGGAGGTGCTCCAGGCAGTGTGACAGCCAGGTCTAAGGGAGAGGCAAGACAGGGCTTCCTACAACTCCTCAGACCCCATCCTGTAGATGTTCACTTTGTCTAAGGACGTGTGTGTTTGTTACCGAATTAAAATTCCAAGGAAAGTCAGGCTTCAGGTTGTTCCCAAGTAGAAACACTCATGCACAAGATACAAGGAGCTTCTGCAACATCCCAGACAGGCACTCTCTCCTCTCGCTCCCTGCACCACCGGCCTGCAATCCCCAGGCTGGCCAAGGCAGGGAGGACAGGGAGGGAGGAGGGAATGCTTCCTGTGGTCCAGGGAAGTGTCCGCTCGGCTCTACTCTGCTCCGTGCAGCCAGGCTGAGGGCTGATGGCGCTGTGTGTAGGGGGGGTTTTCAGTATGAAGTCATTGCCCACAAGGAGGAAGCAGCCACATTTGGCAAGGTCCACTGGCAGTCTGGGGTGTTTGCCCAGAACCAGGAGAGAGTCTGAAAAGGCCCAGGTCCATCCTGGGATCTCAGGAGGCTGGCTGGATGAGAATCTGGGAATCAGCAAATCCCACAGCTGCCTACTCCACACGGAGCCCCTGAGAGGGTAAAGCTCGCTCCAGGGCTGCTAGACCACTGACCAGGGCCCCTCCAGAGCAGGCCTGGTCCTTTCCTGTCTCTGGGTTCCCAGCACCCAGGACTGAGTAGATCCAGCTACTCTTGTGTCTTAGACTGAGTTGAAAATCCAAGTAGGTGTGTTGGGGGGCCGGCCAAGGGGCTTAAGGCACAACTAGGCAGGACCTCTCCATACAAGAGGAGTTTAGCCTATGGTCTCACTGGAGAAAAGAGGGAGCCAGCACCTGGTGGGGAACATAGCAGTAAGAACAGGTTCAAAGAGCCAGAGGGACCGGCTGTCGACCACTGTCACAATAACCAAAGCCATGTGCTTAGCGAGGCCACCACTGGCAGCAGGATCAGCGTGACAGACTAGGCATAATATACTCTAGTGAGTCTAGTATATGGAGAACTATAGAACACAGACAGTCAATGTGGACTTGTCCCTACTTAACAAACGCGCTTGGGAAAACAGGCTACTTGGGGAGAAATCACATTTGACCTTGATCTTGGACAATTTGTCATAAGGAGTAATGATTAAAGAGCTGCTCAGTTAAGCTCAGAATGGGGATTGGGTGGGACTGAGACACACAAGAGATAGGTCACTTGGTCCATTTCCCTGCTTCCTGAGTCCAGGCGGTGGTTGGTGAGTGTGTGTGTGTGTGTGTGTGTGTGTGTAAGCAGAGAAGCCTCAGTCAAGGAACCAGGTCTGACTTCCTCAGCTTCCCAGAAGGAGCTTATGGAGGCCGGACTCTCAATGACTGTGTGAGCTCAGGGCTCTGTGAACCGATCTAGTGCAGAAACTCCAGGAGTGTCCTTGCTCAAAAGCATGTTTAGCAAAAGTGCTTTCCGGCACCGCACCCTGGAGGAAGCTGCCTGCCACTTCCCTTCTCCTGTGACACTTCTCCTTTGCACCACTCGTGTGAGGCCATGGGTAGTCTTGGGATTTGTCCCATTCTCCTAACTGATATAACAGTTAAGTGTCAGACCAGGAAGGGACCCTAAAGTTGTTTTATCTCCTTGTGTTAGAGATGGCGAAAGTGAGGCCAGAGAGAAGTGAATTACTCAATGTCGCACACCCAGTTACAGGCAGAGCTGGGCCCGGGGCAACCCCTCCCAGTTTCCGGTGTCTTGCCCACGGCTCCTCAGCAGCCCTTTATTCATTTCCTCTCTGGTACCTTTCTTCTAAGGCTTTCGTTGCTCTCCTCTGGGTCTTCTGAGTTTTCTGTGGTGTCCATGCTGCTACACGCCTGTCCACTTTGCAGCCTGACAACTCTGCTCCATGACAGCCCTGGCTTGGTGAGAGATGAGCGTGTCCCAGTGGCTGCTCACCGTCGCTTGTCTATGGTGGGCCCCAGTCCTCCCCCCAGGAGAGTTGGCCCTGCACTAAGACTGGCGGGAGACTGGGAGCACATGCCTTCTCGGGCTCCGGCTCATAAGAGCCAGATTCCTGTATGTCTTCCCCACTACTCCAGCTGAGTGAGCTGGAGCATGTCACCTTTCTGGACCTGACTGCTTTCTTGAAAATGGGGACAATATTAGAATATGCCTAGAGCTGCTGTGAATGATCAACAGTCAAGTACCTGGGATAGTGTTTTGTGAACCGAAATAGCATTCCAGTGTGAAATGTTGGTGTCTGCCAGATCTCATCACAGGGCTGATACAGAGCAGATGCCGGCAGACGAACTGTAGAACAGTGGCTCTCAACTGGGGGCTGTTTTAACCCCCAGGATGATATTGGGTGATTATCTGGAGACATTTTTGTTTATCACAACTGTGTAGAGGTTGCTGTGGCATCTGATTGGTGGAGGCCAGGGATGCTGCTAAACATCTTCCCGTGCTCAGGACAGCCCTCACAGCAAAACGTTATCTGGCTCCAAGTGTCAACAGTGCTGAGACTCAGAAGCCTTCGGAGGTGAAGGAAAGTGTGAAATTACACCTGTGGGTACAGATGTGATCTGCTATTCCCGAGAAAGGTTGGGGAGTGGGCCATCAGGACACCGTGGTAACAAAGAGCGGGAAGCACCCGGGGTGCAGTGACATGGCCGTGCCCGGGTTGATAAGTTGAAAACATTTTATTTCAATTCTATCATTGGGAGGCAGCATAAATAATCACAGAAGACCGCAAAGATCCATGGGAAAGAAAAAAAGCTCCAGAAGTATGGGAAGGAGGCAATGAGAGCTAACACTGTCTGGCTGCAGGGGGTGGGGGAGGAGACCCTGCTTCCATTGGCCCAGAGGATGGAACGTTCAGGGAGGAAAGCCCCAGGGGCTGGAGGGCTCTCCCTGCCCAGGTGCCTGGAGGGGATCCTGGCCTCTGGGGGTGGCTGTTCTGCGGTGGCCACGGGCAAGGCAGGGTGGAGCACAATGAGTCCAGTAGATCCTAGCCCGCGAGCGGGAGGGTGGACACCCATTTCTTGATTCCCGGGCCAGATCTCACCCCCAAACTGTGACTTTTCTGAGAACAGTGGTGACAGACACGGTGGGCGGTGGGGAATGGAGAAAGAGAAACAAAAAGAGAATGGGTAGAAGACCAGAGGAAACGTGGCGTCTCAGGAGCCCTGTGACCTCAGGCCACTTCTCAGTTTCTTCGTCTGCAGAACAGAACGAGAGCTCCCTCCGCCGGGGGCGGATGTGAGGCTCCAATGAGATGCGATGTGCCCAGGAACTGTGTAAACTTTAAAGTGCTATTCCGCCGACGGGAGGGGCTGCGGTCATTCTACAAGCGGAAGGCTGAGATAACAGCGGCGAGAGACACACAGCATCTTCCACCCCTTGAAGCAGACACCCCTGCTCTGCCTTCCCCAGGGCCCGACTCCACCCTCCTCAGCCTCACTTCCAGGAGGAAGAGGCCTCATTTGAGAGGGAGTCCCGGAGGGGAGGGGGGAGGGAGAGGCAGGACACGGGGGCCAGGGAGACTAGGGGCACTGAGAGTGAGGGGCCTCAACTAGGCAGAGTGACACATTGGCACTACTGGTGTTGGGCAGACGGTGGAAGTGGCTTCCAGTTTTCATTCTCCACAGATACCCGGGCACCGGTGAAGCCCCCAGGGGTTGGCATCTGGATGCAGCGGGAAGGGACCTGGCTTGTTCAGAACACCCTAGGCCCTGGGTCCATTGTTGACCTGTTGGGTGACTGAGTAAGTTATTTCTCCAGTGCAGCTCTCAGCTCTGTCACTTGTGAAATGAGGACATCATTCCTTACCCTGCCTGCCTCCCAAGTCAAATGGGAAAAGCGTATTTGCAAGAGCTTTGAAGAGAATCATGGGAAGGCAAGGGGTCATTATGGCCTTGGCGAGCAATCCTCTTAATTCCCTGAAGACAAGAGAGAGGGGTGGGAGCAAGAGACAGAAAGGAGAGAGGTTGCTTGAAACCCATGTCAGGTGAATCTGGCTTGCAGGGCTGCAGAGCGGGGGCGGAGAGGGGAGAACAGGTGGCACCTGCCATCCAGCCCTTACAGTGTGGTCCATCAGGGATGCGGTGAGCCCCGCAGTGGGTGCTGAGATGTCCTGACAGCAGCCTCCTTTGCAAGGGAAAAGTTCCAGTTCTAAGTCTACTGGGGTCTGGTTTCTTCCTCTGCCCCCTGGTCCACTGAGGGCACCCCTCAGGGAACCCGTGGTCTTTGCTTGGCTGGGGGAAGCCGATATTCTGGAGGCGGCAGGAAAAGGGGCTGCCAGCGGGGTCCTCCAGGAGAGCCTGGGGACTCTTATTAGCATGAGGTCAAGAGGTCAAAGATCAGCTTCCAGTCTTGAGGCTGCAGGCGGGGTCCTCAGGCTCTCCCCAGCTCCCATCCAGGCGCTGTCTCTGGGGTCACAGGACAAGGGGGGCTTAGGGGACGAGTAGAAACAGTGGAGAGATCGGCTTAGAAAGCAGCCCCGCGGCCGGCTAACAGTTCTTGGGGCTGTTACGCAAGTTCTTCAGTTCCAGCTGGAGCTGCCGAATGCGGATGTCCTTCTGTGCCAGCTCCTCTTTCAAACGCCGAATCTCATCCTGCTGCCGGAAGAACATTCGGAGGAGCTGGTGGACCAAGAGAAGAGAGGCCACGAGGGCCGAGGGCCAGGGCGGGGCCGGGAGAAAGGAGGTGAGAAGGTGATTTCCTGAATGGGTAATCTCCACATCCTCCCTCCCTCCCCGCTCCTGGGCTGCCCATACAACCTCAGCCCCCTCCCCCAGACCTTCCACTGCTCCCCCTGTAATGTCCCAGGTGACTGATGCCACCCCAGCTCTCCCTCCCCCAAATTCAGCTCACTGCTCCCACTTTCCCCTGTGAGGTAGGCAAGAGCGATGGACTTGGGGCTTGATTCGGGATCACTGCACAGGCCTTTTCTTAACAGCCCAAACCTAATACTTCTAGTTACCATTCTGAAGGGAAACCTTTCTAAAATGCTTGCTTTAGCCGAAACCGATTTGGCTCAGTGAATAGAGCGTCGATCTGTGCACTGAAAGGTCTCAGGTTCAATTCCGGTCAAGGGCATGTACATTGGTTGCGGGCACATCCCCGGTAGGGGGCGTGCAGGAGGCAGCTGGTTGATGTTTCTCTCTCATCGATGTTTCTAGCTCTCTATTCCCTCCCTCCTCCTCTCTGTAAAAAATCAATAAAACATATTAAAAAATAAAATAAAATGCTTGCTTCAGGAGGCTCAGGATACAGACGGAATCCAGCTCTGTTCCCTGCTGACATGGAACCATCACAGGCACACCAAAGTTTGCCCAGGGCAGTGGTCCAGGTGCTGGCGTGGGCACAGGCAAAGACTGACCCTCCCTTAAACACCCCTCATATTCACCTGGCTCTCCATTTCTTCTGTAAACAGACTGACAGGTGCCCACTGAACACGGAGGACCCCACACGCTTGACTTGAATGTTACCAACATTGGGTTCCTCCTCAAAATTCCCGGTGAGAGTCGCATTTGCTCTTGCAATTGCACAGTTCAATTCGCTATGCTATACACGGCTGAGATGTGAGTGCAAAGGACAGTTGCTGTCCTATATAAACTACATTGAATGGTTTAAAAGATCTTGGTAAAGGTGATGCTAAGAATGCTGCTGCTGAATGAGTGAGCTTTGGGTGATGTAGCCACAGAAGATGGGAACTTTCCTCTTTCTGGATTGTGGGAGAGTGGTTACACAAATATAGAAACTCTTTACACATTTGTCAAAATTTACGGAACTGTACACTATAAAGGATGAATTTTATCGCAGGTGAATTCAAACCCCCCAAAAAGTTGTCTTTTTTAAAAACTGGGGAAAACTTTGAAAAAAAAAATAACCTAATGTTTTGTTTTCAGATTGACTAAGTTCTTGCTCTATGTAAAACAAAAACAAAAACAACAACAAAAAACCCCCTGGAATTTGGAGTTAAGATGTGATTAATTGAGAAAAACATAGCAGAGGTTATCCAGGGATGTCCTCAAAGAAACAGTCTTGGCTGTGCATCAAAAAACGTTGAATGAATGTATATGTTTTTTTGTTTTTTATATATTTTATTGATTTTTTACAGAGAGGAAGGAAGAGAGATAAAGAGCTAGAAACGTCGATGAGTGAGAGACATCGACTAGCTGCCTCTTGCACACCCCCCACTGGGGATGTGCCCGCAACCAATGTACATGCCCTGGACCGGAATCGAACCTGGGACCTTTCAGTCCACAGACCGACGCTCTACCACTGAGCCAAACCGGTTTCGGCTGAATGTATATGTTTTAAATGAAAACAAATGGTTTGAAGAATGTATATGTCATTTTTATGATTTCCTCCTTTAACTTTTTTTTTTTAATACCAAAAAACCAGTTCTGATTTTGTCTGAAGGAAGATGTGTTATTTGCTCATACACACTTCTCTGCCTTCCAAATTCTCAAAATTTCTTGGCACAATTTTTTCATCTTTTGTTTAAAAAGACTTTATTGAGGTATGACTGACATTCCATAAATGTCACCTGTTTTAACTGTACAATTCAGTGATTTTTGGTGAAGTTATAGAGTTGTGCATCTGTAAGTCTCCTCCCTGCATCAACTACCAGTCATTCTTTACACTTAGATCAATATGTCTGCTGTTTAAGGCCCCATTTTCTAACTGTCTGCTTCAAGCTGCTGTGAAGATTAAAACTGCGGGTAAAACCAGAGTCAGCAGGCTCTGAGAGAATTTTTTCCCAATGAAGATTGTGCACAGGTTTCAGTGCAGGGAGACTGTGGCATCTGTTTTGTCTGCTCAGAGACCCTCCCCCCTTTTTAAAGTAGCATATTTTGCTCAGGAGCTTTTATTTTATTTTTATATATTTTTATTGATTTTAGGGGGGAAGGGAGATGGAGAGAGAGAGAGAGAGAGAGAGAGAGAGAGAGAGAGAGAGAGAGAGAGAGAAACATCAGTGATGAGAGAGAATCTTAGATCCAGCTGCCTTCTGCATGCTACCTTCTGGGGATCAAGCCCGCAACCTTGCATATGCCCTTGACTGGAATTGGACCTGGGACCTTTCAGTCTGCAGGCAGATGCTCTACCCACTGAGCAAAACAGGCTAGGGCCAGAGACCCTTTATCATTCTCCTCCAGGTCCTCAGTTCTGATTCATATAGACAAGTCTATGGCTAAATGGTATTCAATTTAAATACTGCCTTCTCCACATCAGTACTAGAACTGAGCTCAGGCTCCTGATATGGCCCATATGTGCTAACAATGGAAATTAGGTACCTCTACCTTCTCAAGGCACACACACACAATTTTAATAGAAAATGCCAAACATATACAAAAGTAAGAATAGCACCATGAATCTCCAAGTACTCGTCAGTCAGCTTCAACAAATGGCACATGTTACTGCTTTTCCTCCTTGATATCTACCTATTCTTGGTATCTGCTCCTGCCCACTTTTCCTGCCCTTTTCCCTCTCCTCCCCCCGCCATTTTCAGGAATTATTTAGAAGCAAATCCCATTTATCACATGATTTCATCCAGCCTGAGAAATCTCAATGTCCCTCTATAACAGCATATATATATATATATATATATATATATATATATATATATATATATATATATAACAATTACCAGTTTGCCTGTCAACTTCCACTTTAAAACTGTGAGGTCCCAGAGGTCAGGGACAGTCTTATTTTTATGAATAATAGTGGTAATCATAAGTTGGTGTGACCAGAAGCCTCTAAGGTGCATCCCCCTGCTATCCTTTCCCCTCAAGTATCAAATGGACTTAGCGATTTTCAAATGAATAGAATATGGCAGAAGCAATAAGATGTCATTTCCAAGGTTAGACTACAAAAGGGTTGTGCCACCCACCTTGAACACCCCTCTTTCTCACTCACTTGAGGGAAGCCAGTGCCTTGTTGTGAGCTGCCCTATGGAGAGGTCCAGGTGGCAAGGCTCTGAGGGAGGGCACCTCTGGCTGACAGCCATGAGAAACTGAGATTCTCAATCCCATAACCTGGGAGGACATGAGTCCTGCCAGCAACCATGGGAGAGAACTTGGAAGCAGATGAGCCACCAGATGCAACTGCGGCCTGGCTGATACTTCACACCCTCTTGAGAGACCTTGAGCCACAGGCACCCACAGAAACGATGAGATAATAAATGTTTGTGGGTTTAAGTCACCAAATTTTGGGGTAATTTGTTACATGGCAATAGCTAGCTAATACAGTCAGGCTCTTTGAGCACTTAATGCGAGCCAGGGAGAGATGATCTCTGTCATGCTCACAGCATTTCATATCCCCATTGTGCCATGAAGAAAGGTACTTGGAAAGGTCTGGAAACTTGTTCAGGCACAGCCAGGAAATGGGCGAGCCAGATGCCAATGCAGGTGGGTCTACACAGCCATCTCTACCTCAGCTGCATCCAGCCAAGTGCCTGGCACACGGTGGGTGTTCTGTGAGTCCTGGCTGAGCTAAATTGTATTGGCACCACAGACTGTGGGCGTGGTTAGAAAGAGAAACCTTTGGGGGCAGGGGTAGGCCCAGTTACGACTGCTCCTGAATACTCCCATTGCAAATGGTACAGAGAGCATTTCCAAAACATCCAGTATCTTCCACAAAACAGGAAATTGCCAGATCTCATCAGCGCTCCAGCGCCAGGGAGGAAGGCAGTGCTGTAGGGCACGAGGCTGGCCTTCCTCAGTGAGTCGGGGATTTATGTCTCCTGTACCACCAAATGGCAGCGACATTCTGCAGTGGATTCATGAGGAGACTGTGAGTCCACAGGTAACTGTGGGGCAGTGAATGTGAGGGTTGGGGGAGGGGCGTCAATATCCCTATGGTATCCCAGCCTCTATTCACAGGGGTCAGAGGCGATGGAAGCCAACAGGCTACCAATGGTGTTTGTCTCAGAAAGAAAAAGGCTTCAGCATGGAGCTGGCTTACAGGCCTGATGCCCTAACTGAAATGTAGAGGCCTCACTCTCCCAGGGCCTGTGGAGGCAATCACTCATATTCCTTACCTCGTTCTCTGTCCTGGGCGGGACATTTTCTAATAAATCTATTCCATTGACCACAACACTCTTCTTTTCTTTGATAGGAGCCTTAAATACCATTTTTGAGGACTTCTTATAACCTTCTTTCAAAGACATCAGCACGGGATCTAAGAAAGGCAAGGGACATGTGCTCACTGACGATGGACGGACGGAATTAGCCTCTGCTTAACGGCCGGCCAAGGGTGAGGGAAGTCCCAACAGGAGGAGGTGCAGGGAAACGGGGTGAGCCAGACAAAGGCAAAGCTCTCACACTCTTACCTCCTTCGGGCAGCCGACCCCTTGCGGCACTTACCTCGGTTGATGCCTCCCAGCCATTCATCAGGGGTCAGAGCTGGCTCCGTGCCTGGCGTCATGGGGTAAATATCTTCCTGGTAGGAATCTGACTATAGTGGGGGGAGTGCAAAAGGAAATAGATTGGGGGGGGGGGAGAGATGGCTGAGAAAATCCTGCTCTTCAGTCAGACTTTTTCCTCGCTGACCTTCCACCATGTTACCTACTTCCCTGGCTTTGCATTCACAATGTCTCCCACTTGGAATTCCCGCCCTGGGCTCATTAGCAAACAACACTGCCCCCACCTTGGGATGTCCTCCGTTCCCCACCCCAAACTGGGCCTGAAGACCCAAGTCCACGGTGAAAGGGCTACTTCCTCTGGGCTCCTCCAGGCTTACCGTCAGCGGACAGCAAGCTAGGATTGGATGCCGGGGCCCTGGGGAGTCCCCCCCCGCCCCAGCCCCACTCACCCTCCGGGGCACGATCATGGAGATGGGTTCGATCAGGCCCTTGAGAGTCACCAGCTTGTAGAAGCGGAATACCTCACAAGCCGACACATCCAGCCCGTGCTTGGGCATGACCCCTGCGGACAGTTACACATGGCTTCTTGGGGCCCAGGGGGTTCCCCCCTTGGTGTCCCTCTCCCTGATGTCCCCAGCCACAGGGAGAGACCCCCAGCAGTGGGCACTAGATTTGGAGCAATGACGGCTGCAGAGGACAGTGGGTGGGCTGAGGGCTTCCTGAGTCAGTTCTGTCCTGAGTGGTGACTTCTCACATAAGCCTCGTGGGCCAGACCTGCTTCATCAAAGTGCGTGCTTTAGAACTGGAGTCTTTTAGGACTGGAAGGGGCTGCAGAAATATTGGGATCTAATCCATTCTTTTTATAGATGAGACTCTTGAGGGTGAGAAGGGAAGGGGCTTGTCCAAGGTCACAGAGTATTGTTACAATATAAGCCACAGAACCCATCACCTCTGAAAGGAACTGGCTTCCTGAAGTGTCTGTGTCCCTGATCCTCAGAGAAGAAGGAGGGAAAAACCTTTTTCCATGCATCCCTGAGATTTCAGTGCAGCTTGTTTGCTGTCCTGTGATAGTCTTCCAGGACTGAGAGCAGATGTGTGCATATGTGAGTGCATGCATTATCTGTGTGTGTCGTTAGCCAGATCGCCCCTTCAGCTGCCTATGGTCATCTACTGAGGGTGTGCAGTGTGGTGTTAGAAACACAACCTTTGGGGTAGGGAAGACCCGGGTTTGAATCCTGGCTCTGACCCTCTTTATGGCGGGAGTCCTTGGGAAAATCATGACCTCAATGAGCTTCAGATTCCTTGGCTCATTAGAGAAGGGAAGTAGTCAGGGGACTGAGCGTGAAGATGCTCATTAGCTGCTGGGCATGAAGAGCACAGATAACATTGGTTTCTTTCCCCATGACGTGACCATGCGTCAAAGCTCTCCCTCTCCTCAACTGGAATGGAAAGGCTGCTCTTCCAGACAAGGTCATTCCAGGAGCTGGAGGGCAGTGGTGCACTGGCACCTAAGGGGCATCTGGAGCCAGCAGCCTGAGCTTGAGTTCTGCCCGGGGTGGGTTACTTAGCCACTCTGAACCTTCCACCGTGCCCAGCTCATGGCAAAAGCTCAGTAGTGGCCACAGGGGAGGAAAATAAGAAATGCTTACCATTGGTTCCTCCCTCTGTCTCCTCTTCTCTCTGAGTTTGCGGATCCTACTTTCTACACATCTCCTGGATCCACCCTCTTCTCCCCACTGTCATGCTGTCACCCTAGTTACCATCGTTTCTTGCCTAGAAGTCCACAGTGGCCGCCTAACTGGTCTCTCTTCCTCCCTCCTGCCTTTCAAAATCCATGCTCCCGAATCCACTCTCCCTACAGGAGCCAGAGCAATCTTCAACCGGACTTTCAGATCACATCGCATTGTCCCACCTCCTACTCACCCACCGAAGGAAAAGAAAACCCTCCGATGTCAGAACCGCGTTGGGCTTCCCATCTGCAAATGGGAACGAAGACCCTGCATCCCTGCCCCTCTCCACAGGCTGCTCATGAGCAGAGATCGTGGAGGATGCCTAACACCAAGGGAGGATGAGCTGGTCACATGGAGGGTGTCAGGTGGCTGGAGACGAGACAGCTGACCTTCACAGGGGCAGCATCTGTAAGTGTTTTCTAACTTGCCTATGAGCTGTGGCCTTCAAGTCTGATATTTTATTGGGGGGCATGTAATCCATGAGCCAAATATCCAGTGTCTTGTTCTACAGCCTAACTGCCAGGGCTGCTTCCTGACCCCTTACCTAGGCCTTTCTGCGGGGCTGGGGAGCGGAACTCCATGAGGTAACTCAAGTAGGGCTTCTCCGTGCTGATCTCATAGTACCGGATGTTTCCATCTCCCTGCGGGCAAGGAGAGAAGGAGGTGAGGAAGGTGTGTGTGTGGATGGGGAGGGTTGAGTAAGCCCTGGTCCAGGGTCTGCTGAAGAGAGCCTCCACTGTGCCTCACAGGTGCTCAAAGACCAGGGAGACCTGGCCTTTGGGTCCCTGGGGGGCCTGCCTCAGGGGACCCGCTGGAGGTGTGGTGTGTGTGTATAGACAGCTTTCCTGACAATCCAGGCCATATTTGTCAGGGATCTCCTGGAAGGTGCCTCAAATTCCACCATTAGTCACAGTCCTCTACACCTCAGGCTCTGACCCTTATCCCAGTGTAAAACCATCTCCAGTCCACCTCCGAAGAAATTCTGGCACTGACACTTCAGTAAGAACACGTGTCAGACCTGAGGGTAGGTTTCAATGGAAAAGAGTAAGAAAGACCCGGGCTGGCACAGGGGAAGGACGGAGAGGTTGGGTTGGTCCTTGGGAAGCAGGGAAGGAGTAGGGGCCGCATGGGGGGAGGGGTCTCCCACAGGCTGCCCAGTCCCTCTCCACCTTCTACTACCTTTCCCGCCAGGTACAGCATGTGGGTGTCGGCATCATAGAAGGGGAACAGGAGGCCGGAGAGCCCGTCGATTTCCTCCTCGATCAGAGGCATGGAGAGGTCCTCCTGCGGGGAGGCGGCCAGTGTCAGCCTGTGTCCGGGAAGGATGGCATCTCACCTTCCCGAACTCCAGCAAAGCCCTGGGAGCTGCAACCCGTTTATGTCACCTTCCCTTCCTTCCCCCCCTCCCCCCACTCCCCGCACCCCGCAGCTGACCTGGTCCCAGAGGGCAATCTGTCGTGTGTTCCACCTTGAGACCCCCGTCGTGAGAAGCCGCTTCATGTTCCCCAGGAACACCACCCGGTTCACTCTGTGGTTTTTGCAGCTGGCCTCCTGTGGGGACAGAGCGAGCCGGTGAGTCAGGGCCCCGCACACCAGGGTCCTGGAGAAGACGGAATCATGGCCCCCAGGAGATACCTCCGTGTCTTCATCCCTGGAACCTGTGGATGTTTCTTTATTTGGAAAGAGGGACTCTGCAGATGTAGGTTTAAGTTGAAATAGGGGATCGCCTGGATTCCCCAGGTGGGTCCTATAACGAGAGCCCTAAAACAGGTGGAGGGAGAGTCCACAGACACAGAGAAGGCTTTGTGGCCCTGGAGGCAGAGCTTACAGGGATGTGACCACAAGCCAAGGCAGCCCAGCAGCCACAGAAGCTGGAGGAGGCAAGAACGGATTCTCCCTGGAGCCCCTGGTGGGAGGGTGGCCCTGCTGACACCTTGATGCCAGAACTCTGGCTTCCGGAACCGAGAGAGAATCCGTAGCTGTTGTGTTGGCCACTAGTGTGGTAGTGTGTTACAGCAGCCCCAGGGAAGAAATACCGAGACTGAGGAGCAGTGGAACCCCGAGACTGGGAAACCAGGCCTCTCCGCCATGCCCCGCAGTGGATGGAGCTCAGGGGAGAGGGAGCTAACGTTGACGGAGCCCCAGGCAGGGCCCGCAATGTGCCAGGTGCCAGGTGCTCTCCGCAGGGCCTCTCGTTTAGCCTGCACAGCAAAACCTACTGGCAGGAACCTGAGGACAGGGCACTCAGGCTGGCTCGCTGTTTGATGACTCACTACACCAGGGGCTCCTACGAAGCCGTCCTCCTCTCCTGCCTCCCAGCTCATGGCACTTCCTTTTCCTCCTAACGCACAAGGGTCTCTGCCGGGATGAGTCAGCATCAGGCAGACCCCAGAGGCCGGTGAAGCTGTGCACAGACCCAGGCTGGTGCCCCCGCCTGGCGTTCAGTTCCAAGTTCTGCCAAAGCAGTGTAGCCGGAGGAGGCCCTCCCCGTCTCTCGGCTTGTGCCCAGGGTGTGAGGTGGAGGCTGGGTTCTCTGCTCTCGGGCACCTTTTCTGCTCGGCATGGGCTCTGGGGTCCATCTGGCTGGGTTGGAACTCTAGCTCCTCCATGACGGTGACATTCCAGCCTCCGACCCCCTCTGAAGCGCAGTGCCCGCCCCCCACTCCCCGTGTGACATGGGAAGAGGTGCAGGACCCAACTCAGAGGGCTGTTGTGAGGGAATAAGATGAAGCCCGTGGCCCTATGTGCCACCCAGTGAGCACGGAGGAAATGCTGCTAATACTAGAGATGCTAATAACGAGGGTAATTGTCTGTAGAAGTAGTGGTAGCTGGCTTTTGGGCCTCACACTATTGGACTCTTCCTAGATTAAACACAACCAGGCCACCATCCATCCTTTCTCGTGTAGGAGGCAAATCTCAAATTTAATCCAAATTTCCCATCCCTCCTAGTGACTGGCATGCTCTAGGGCTCAAGAAACGTTAATTTCTTACCCCCAAATGGCATCTAATCCCTTCCTCACAGGCAAGACCCAAGAGACTAAAATACCTAAACTGGAGTTAAGTTCACCATCAACCTCCGCACTTGGAGTTGTCCCGGGGCTGGTGTGCGTGGAGGCATTGCTACCAGGCTGGTCCCACACAGGTGGCTGGGCTGGGGGTCCAAACCTCTCCTCCTGGGTCCAGGATGAGGTTCGGTCAACACCGACGGACTCATGTGCTGGAGGTGTCACCAGCCTCCTCCCCAGCGCAGGCCGGGAGATTCCATCTGGGGAGAGGGGTGCAGTGGCCAAGAAAGAGAGCTAAAGCCCCTCTCCACCAAGGACAAGGCAGGGTCCCTGTGAGCCGAGAAGGGCCCAGAGCAGACGGGACAGTCACCAGAAGTGCAGGCAGGTGCATGAGGGAGGAGAGCTGGCTTGGCCTTCCCCTAGGCCTGGCTGAAAGCTGAGCCCCAGACCCCAATACCTTCCCTTCCCCTTGAGAAAGCCGGGCTTCACCTGCAGAACACGGCCGGAGCGGGGCTCGATCACGCGCAGCTTCTTGTCCTTGCACGTGGTGGCGAGCAGGCTGCCGTCCGTGTTGAAGGACATGCAGAGGATCACGTCCGAGTGGCAGTCGATCATCTTCACGGGCTCCCCCACGTCCAGGTTCCAGATGAGGACCTGGGAGGGCAGCAGGAGTGGGGTCAGCTCTGCTGCTGCTGCCATCGGGCATGTGTCCCCGCTCCACGCCCAATGGTCCTGGGAGAGGTGCCCAGTGCAGAGTGGGGGTGTGCTAGGCTGCAGGGTGGAGTCGCTGAGATCTGTATCAAAGGCTGATGGGTCCCTGTCTCACAAACCCACGACTGTCCTTGGGCTCAGTTTCCACAACAAGCAGGAAGGACACATGTTCCTCGCCAGGTTCCAGTGGCTGGCACACACCTCTTTTGAGGGGCCACCCTGGGGATAGGGACTGGGGCTCCATTCTCTTCCCTCCAGCAGTTTGCTCTTTTTCCCCACCAGGAGAGTGTGGACACGGAGTGGCATTCGCCTCCAGTCCATCAGCATCAGAGAGGCAGTACGGGTGCTTCCAGCCTCGATGGACCCCAGGGATGACTGAAGATGCCCAGGAGTGTGTGGCGAATGAATAAGTGGGTGGATGAGACACTATTGATGAACATGCCCCAAAGATGCCCTCCTCTCCCCCACCCCCATCCACACTGCCTGCCGGCTGCCCACCTTGTAGTCATAGCCGGCGCTGAACAGGATGTTGTTGGTGGTGGGGTGCCACTCCACCAGCCCCACACGCCGGCTGTGCCCGTGCAGCTCCAGGAGGGCCTCTGTCATGTTCCGCTTCAGCCCGCCCTCGGGGATCTCCCAGATCCGCACCTGCAGAGGGAACGGAGGGCTGGGGCTGGGCGGCAGGGCAGGCAGAGGCCCGACGCCTCTCCTTCCCACACCAGGCTTCTGCCACCTGGGTGGGGAGGCGCCTCATGGCTGGTCGGGTGAGCAGAGCTGACTGAGGCCCCGGGGGGAGTTTCGAGGTTGTGATTGAAGAGGAAAGAGGCCATCCCCTCTCTTCCCTTGGGAGGGTCACGCTGAGCAGCTCGGAGCCAGTGCTGAATTCTAAAGCCTATCTCTGCTTCCCTTCCCTCAGCCTTTTAAGAGGTCTGCCTTCAGCCCCAGCTCCTGTTTGGACCATAGAGCCTTGTCCCTGATCCTGTCCCCCACCCACGAGGGACACCTGAGCAGAAGGAAACCGTCTGGGAGGTGGGAAGTCTAGAGTCTCCTGAGAGATGAGAAACCAAGGAGCAAAGATTCTCCTCGGATGTGGAAGCCTGAGCTGAAAGGATGGGCAGAGCCTGCAGGCAGCTGCTATTTTCAGGCTTATGGTGCTGATCGAGAAGCAGAAAAAAGATGATCTGCAGAGAGGAGGAGGGGCTCACGGAGAGGCAGTGAAAAGAGACCATGAGGCCCCAGAGGGAGAGAAATGGAACAGTTTCTCTGTAATCTTTGAATACCCACCCCGCCCCCATTATTTCCACCGCGCCCCCCCTCCCACCCCGTGGGCTTGTCCATCAAGCCAAACAGGCTCTGCAGAGTCTCAACGGTTCCATCCAGAGATGGAGGAAGTCTTGCCTGGCCTTGCCCACTGGCAGAATAGAATGAGATACTGCTTGTAAAAGTTGGTAAACTGTAAAGCTCTCTACAGAACTAAGGGATTATAAACCTTGCTCTAGTTGTTATCATCATTAATGCTATTTATTATGATCTGACTGGTGAAGAGGCAAGAATACATGTGACTACAACTTAGGACACCTAACAACCCTGGAAATCTGAACTCCACCCTTAATAGTAAGGTGAAAAACAGGACAAACAGCTTTGAGGTATCATGTGCAATCTTCTAAAATAGCCACCTTAAAGAGAGAGCTGGCGGTGGCAGATTATACTGTAGGTTTAATCGGTGTTGGTATTATAGTATTTTATTTATTTATTTATTTATTTATTTATTTATTTATTTTAAATATATTTTATTGATATTTTACAGAGAGGAAGGGAGAGAGATAGAGAGCTAGAAACATCGATGAGAGAGAAACATCGACCAGCTGCCTCTTGCACACCCCCTACCGGGGATGTGCCCGCAACCAAGGTACATGCCCTTGACCGGAATCGAACCTGGGACCTTTCAGTCCTTAGACCGACGCTCTACCACTGAGCCAAACCGGTTTTGGCGGTATTATAGTATTTTAAAGCAGTCACCTTTCAGAAACCATGTAGCCATTTTTAGTAGAAACTGTAAGACATTTCTATTATCTGACTTAGTAATTTCATTCTTAAAATCCAATATAAGCAAAAATCTCTATGTATGAAGATGTTCATTGTAACATTACCTATACAGAAAACTTAGAAACACTCTAAATGACCAACATGAGAACAATCTAATGTCATATCAGTGTGGAATATTAGCCATCCCGTTATAATTCTGAAGCCTGTTAAAGAAAGCCAGTTATAGCTTGGCCAGTAGGGCTCAGTGGTTGAGTATCAACCTGTCCACCAGGAGGTCATGGTTCCATTCCTGGTCAGGGCACATGCCCAGGTTGCGGGCTCGATCCCCAATGTGGGGCATGCAGGAGGCAGCTGATCAATGATTCTCTCTCATCATTGATGCTTCTATCTCTCTCTCTCCCTTCCTCTCTGAAATCAATATATATATATATATATATATATATATATATATATATATATATAATGTTTTATTGATTTTTTTTACAGAGAGGAAGGGAGAGGGATAGAGAGTTAGAAACATCGATGAGAGAGAGACATCAATCAGCTGCCTCCTGCACACCCGCTACTGGGGATGTGCCCGCAACCAAGGTACATGCCCTTGACCGGAATTGAACCTGGGACCTTTCAGACCACAGACCGACGCTCTATCCATTGAGCCAAACTGGTTCCGGATATATATAATTTTTTTTTTTTTTTTTTTTAAAGAAAGCCACTTACAGGCACTCTGAAGGACAGGGGAGCAAGGCTGTGAACTGGGGGTGCCCCGAAGGGAATTCCCTTGGCAGGCTTTCCCCTTGGACTATGGAAATGAGCATTTCCCACACTTGGTTTCCCTGAAGACCCAGCTCTGCACAGGCAGACACAGGGCCTTAGGGAGAGAAAGGCAAGTCCAATCAAGGACAGGGGTCACCCTCAGGTGTACCATCCTGTTTTAAAAGCACACCCCAGAAAACGTTTATAATTAGGGGACAGTTGAATGTTTTCCCATCCTCACTGTCATCTCTTTAGACTCCACAATCCTTCCTCCAAAGGCCCTGCGTGAGGCCTTCTGGGATGCGGTCTGATCTGGAAACGGCGGGAGGCTGGTGTGGGGACCCGGTGGGTGACTCAGTAATTACCAACAAGACATATCCCTCTTGTCCCCAAATGTACTAGAGGAAGGTGACCCTTGAAGAGAAAAGACTAATATTTGAAGGGGACACACACACACACACACACACACACACTCACGTTCCTTTCCTTTTTACCCAAAGGGGATACTACCGGTATTATACATGCACTTCTGCAACTTTTCTCATGTAACAGCAGAGAGTGGGCATCCTTCCACACCACTACACATGATCCACCTTATCGTTGTAAGCAGCCCGGGGACATCTGTTGTATGATTGTGCCATGATGGATTTAATCAACCTCTAATAGTGAACACCTGGCTTCTGCCCGCTTTTTCCACTATTACAACTCATCCTCTGACGAGCAGCCTGTAACACAAGTTTGTGCATGGGTGTGAGTGTTCCTGTAGGACTCCTGCCTAGAAGTGTTTCATTATAGTTTCTGTAAAATTGTCCCCAAAGCTCTTCCAGTTTCCCCAACAGAGTCTGCTTCCTTTCTGCTTCTCTACAGCTAGCTCTGTTTTCAGAATTGGATTTCTGCTCATTGGATTAAAAGTGCCACTGCTGTTTGGACCTTCACTTCTTCGATTCTTAGAAATACCTGGCCTCCTTTGTGTGCACTTGGGAAGCTTGAAGAGCTTTCAGACTCGAGGGGATGAGACTCTTTTTAAAAAAAATTTTTTTTTAATTGATTTCAGAGATGAAGGGAGAGGAAGAGAGGGATAGAAACATCGATGATGAGAGAGAATCATTGATTGGCTGTCTCCTGGAGATCGAGCCCGAAACCCAAGCACATGCCCTGACTGGGAATCGAACCGTGACATGCTGGTTCATAGGTCAATGCTTAACCACTGAGCCACGCCGGCTGGGCGGGGATGAGACTTTAAGGGGCAGAATGATGGGTCAGTGTGGAGGCATTTGGGGGCAAAGGATCCCGTCTATGAATACCTCATACTATCCCTCTTTTTTCTTTTTTAAAAAAAACTTCACCCAAAGATATGTTTTTATTGATTTTTAGAGAGAGAGAGAAAGGGAGAGGCAGAAAGAGAGAGAGAATCATCATTGTGAGAGACATAGGCACCCAATATTTAAAAAAATTATTGAACCCCATAACCTTTTGTTGTACAGGAAGATGGTCTAACCAACTGGGCCACCTGGCCAGGGCCTCATCCTGTCTCCCAAGGACAGCAGGCAAGCGTGTCCCGAGGCATCCCTGGGTGGTGTCACAGGCCAGGCTAAGGCACAGACACATGGGGAAGCTGTGAAGTGGGGGTCCACCCAGGCTCTAATCTCACTGACAAGCTTGGACAAGCCAGTTAACGCCTCTGAAGCTCATGCTCCTTGTCTAGACGATGCATTGAGGTGTGCGTGCCATTTAGAGGTGGGTGGGTAAAAGCGAACTGAGCTCGGAGTCCTTGTGAGTCTGAGGCTTTGTTTGGGCGAAGGCTCTGCCTACTGACCTTCAGGCTAAGCCTTGAACTGGATCCCCATCCTGTGCGGGAAGGGCTGCAAGGGAGAACGGAGGGCTGTTTTCACCAACAACTGTGGGAGTAATGTCCCAGGCAGGGCTTGGGGGATCCTGAAGGAAAATGTCTCTCAGAGAGGGAAGGAGGCGTCTTGTCTGACCCCCATTTGATATCAGCCTTCCTGGGCCCTGGGCTTCTCATGGGCACATTGAGACAGTGTAAGTTAATCTTCCAAATTTTTGTGCTGCTGACATCATTGAATGTGCCCCTAGGAGGAGAGACTAACTCTGATCCACCGCTGCCGCTAACAGTTGGTGCCACATGCTATGGGAGTTCACCAGGGGACTAGAGCCTGGAAAAGGAAGTCCAATCCCTTCGTATTCAAGGGATTTGCTGGCGGAGAGTGGACGGGCGTGGGAGGAGCGAGGAGCACTGTGGTCTGCCCAGAAGTTGCTCTAGGAGGCTACTTCAATTCAACGGGAAAACCAACAGAGCCTGCCAAACTGGATTTCTGGAAGGAAGGGGAGGGGAGAAGTGGGAAAAGCATTCTCTCCAGCTAGGCAGCTGTGACTGGGATCATCCCCTTCACAGGTCCCTGGGTCAGAGCCCTGCTTATCTGGGTTACAGGCAACCAACAAAGCATGCGCAGCCCCTCCCTGCATCACCCGTTAGACACCAGGGTACGGTCCTTGGTCTCTAGTAGCTCACAGTCTTTGGGGGAGACAGCAGACATGTGCAGACAAGGCTAAGGCAAGACAGCTGATAAGCACTGTTAACAAAGCTACAAAACTAGCGCCTGTGTGCACGGAGGGGGAGGGAGCAGCTGGCCAACAGGGAGAGCCCTGGGGTCTGGCAAGCTACATTGAGATCCAGGCTCTGCTCATACTGGTGAGACTTCAGCCAAGCTACTTAGCCTCTCTCAGCCCCAGTCTTCACATCTGTGAGAATAATTATACCTCTAGCCCTGGCTGGTTTGGCTCAGTGGGTAGAGCGTCAGCCTTGCGGACTAAAGGGTCCCAGGTTCAAT